TCGCCCGGGCTTGGGCGAGGGCGGTCTCCACGACGGAACCGGAGCCGCAGGGTATCCGAAAGCCAATTGGACGTCCCAGGTACCGCTGCGGCTCGAAGTCGCGCAGTACCGAGATGGGGACACCCGAGACTCGGAACTCCATCTGGCGTATCCCCACAGGTGTCGATGCGACCATGTGAAAGGATGTGCACTTGGATGGCTTCAAGGACAGGCCCAGGGACGCGGTGAGGGTCTCGATCCGATCGATGCTCTGCTGAAGTCTGCGTGGAGTCAAGGCAAGGGAAGTCGGGTCGTCCACGTAGGCGACGATCTTGTGGTCGGAACCACCACCCTGCACTGCCCGAAAGACCGGGTCGATCACTAAGCTGAAGAGAATTCCACTCAGCGGGCAACCCTGACGTAGCTCTGCCAGGACCGGGATCGGCTCGGTGGTTCCCTCGGCCGTAAGGATACAGGTGCTGTTATCCATGTACCAGTCTACGATCACCTCTGTAAACACTGAGCCGGTGCCAGCACCACGCAGGGCGTCGAACAACGCCTGGTGCGGGACGGAAACAAACGCGTTGTGAAAGTCCGACAGTGCCGCACACAGGTCGGGGCCTCCCTATCGGGCGATGTCGAGCCTGCACTGTATGATATAGGTAAGTTCGAACACGCCGTCATGCGGAAGGAAGCCCTTCTGGTACTTTGACTACACGGCGTGTTCGATCATCCAGGCCTAGAGCTGGGCTCCAAGGAACTTGGCATAGAGCTTCGATGCCGTGCAGCTGAGGGCTATCGGCCACCAGTTCGACGGGGCTTGCGTATCTCCCTTCTTGAAGGTGAGGATGGTCCGCATCGTCCTCCAGGAGTCCGGCGTTCGGCAGTGGTGAATGCAGGCGTTGAACACCGCTGTCAGGAACCGTGCCTCCGGGTCGACCATTCGCCAATGGTGATAGGTTAAACGGTTTGCGCCGGGAGCCCTGTTCTCTGAATTGCGTAAACGCCCGAACACCTCGTCGGTCGAGAAGTTCAACAAGTCAATGCCCGCCGGAGCCAGATCGCGTGCGAGCAGTAGGTTAGAGTTGGCTTGCCGGGCCGACCACGTGCGCGCCCAGTGATCTTGCAGGTCCTGTAATGGGATGGCACAGGTCTGTGGCGGTCCCTCCAGGATCAGTCGGACTGCGCGGCGATGGTTGCGGCGGTACAGCCGCTGAATGTCGACCGCGTTGGAAGGGTCGTGCTGGCGGTGCTGGCGACCAGGACGCACCGGTGGGAGACGCACCGCCACGACAGCCAAGGCGACGGCCCGCGTCCAAGCTGCCTCACATTGAGCCCACGACTCTACAGAGGGCAAGTCTCGCAACAAGGAGCGGAGCAGGCTTGCCTTGTCATTGAGGAGACGCGTGTGGTCTGGTGGCATCTGGAGTGTCGCGTTGTCGGACACAGGCTGTTCCGGTACTTCGTCGGGTTCATAGGGAACCACTGCGTCCTCGTCCACGGACGGGCGGCGACGGGGAGGAGGCCGGAGACACCGGGGACCCAGGCAGAACAACCGGTGACTACCCGGCATCGAGTGGCGGCGAAGACACCGCGATGTCGTCGGAGAGAGCGTTTTGGTCGTCGTCGTTCTGAAGAAACGCGGCATCGCCAACGGCCGAAGCTGCCGACGAGCCGTGCGAGGCAGGAGCCTTGCCATGCGACGACGACGATGGTCCGAGGTCGTATGGGACTGGGACTTGCCTGGCAGACGACAAGTGTGTTTGCGGCAGCGCAGAATCCGGCGACCGTGGTAACCCGAGAACGGGCGATACCACAGGAATGCCAGTGGGCGTCGGGACCCTGATGTGTGGCGACCAGGAAGACCTAACTTCGGCGTTGCGCATGGGCTGCTCGGAGGGGACCGGGCTTGAGGTAGGAGATGGTGCCGGCGAAACGGGGACAGTGGCCGAGCCCACGGACTTCGACGAACCACTGGTGGAGAGGTACACGAAGGCAGTCGGTTCGCCGATCGACGTGGTCGGAGACGACGAGGGCCTAACCGAAGATGCGGCGTCAGAAGTGGCTAAGCCTCTGGGGCGTCGCGAAGCCCGTGACTCTGCAGGCGGTGGAGAACCCGAGGAGAACGAGGAGGTGCTGGTAGAGCTGCTGACATGGCGCACACGCCGGGCAGGCGCGCGCGCACGAGTGGCGCCGGATGGCCCAGCCTGGTCGACGTGGCATCTCAGGTGGTTGGCCAGGACACGTAGCATCACAGACGCTACTGTGACGTAGCATCGCAGACGCTACAGCGACGCCAAGGTGCCTCCGTCGAAGGCACCAGTATGACTGTAGCCAGACAGCGATGGTTTGAAGGCCCGGACGTCAGCGGCGAGTCGCACACCGAGCACATGTAGATCCGATCGTTTACACGAACGCCGTGCTCGAATTCTACGTGGTGGCGCACCGACTGCACGCGACACGTCCAGATGGCCCCGCTGTACTTCATGCTGCAGTCGCCGACCGGACACTGCAGCTCTGCCGGGGCCGGGAGGTACACCCAAAGGACGTCGCCATCCAGGATCAGCTGGTGTGGTTGCACCGGGACGGCAGGGAGTGAAGACGCCGGTGCTTGGAAATCAGCCGTTCCATACAAGGACGACGCAGTGGACGCCGGCGATGAAGAGCCTGCCGCAGGGGAATCCGGAGTTCCGGGCCGAGGTCCGGGCTGAGGAGGGGGTGGTGTCGGTGAGCCAGATAGGGCAGGAGCGTGGTGCCGCCTGGGACTTGAAACCCTCGCGGAACTCGGGCGGGCCCGATTCATGTCGGCGGGCCCAGCGGACAGCAGGACCGGCTAGCAGCAGTGCCAAGCAGGACCAGGGGGCCGGGCGGCAGGCGACGATGGCGATGTAGTCACGATGGTGACCAGGGCTCGATGACGTCGTTAGCAGGCAGTGACGACTGAGCCAGGCATGGAGCAAGCAGAAGGTGAAGAACCAAGCAAAGAAATGAGTGGTAGACTCTCACCAACTTCCTTACAGCATCTGGAGGTCGCCATGGCCAGCCAGAACGTCCAAGGCCTCCAGGGTCAGCAGGTCCACCAATCCAACCGTCCAGGAACAGGCCACCACCGGTCAGCAGGAACAGGTGCCCCTTTGAAAGGGCAGGCACAGCCAGGAACGTCACCTTCCCGGGGCGGCCGGGTTCTCGACCGTGAGCCCGCGGATCAAAGTGTCTCAGCAAATAAGCTGATAAGAACAGAGTGCATCTTTATTATGCTATTGAAAAGAGATGGAAGGTCTTGAGTCTGCCGAAGACATTGTGGTGAACCTGTACATAGCACCGGGATGGAGGCCGGGACCGGGATGGCCTGATGGCTAGACCAGGATGGCCTGATGGAGGCCGGACGCAGGTGGTGGCACCAGGGACACCAGGGCTTGGTAGGTGGGTACGTCGTAAGAACCCCTGATTCAGCAGCGAGCGGACTAGGGCATCTGCTAGGCGGTAGGCGACGAGGCGACGTCGGAAAGCAGGCCTTGCCTGGCCCAGTGGTCTTTTAACTGCGTCCATGTCCCACATGCGGATGGTAGATGTCGCGGGTCGCTGCCACCGCCTCGGTCACTCTGAGTTTTTTATCAGACGCAGGTTGCTTCAGGAGCACAGGCGCAGGAGGACGCGGTCGCTGGCCGGGTCCCAAGCACCGAGAGCCCCAACGATGACGGTGGCCACCGTAACTCTCTGATAGGGGCGACGCAGGTAGTAGGCGACGGGTTTGTAGCGTGCTAGCTTGTTGTTTCGCGTGTTGGTAAAGGCCACCACTGTGTTCTCGAATGGGCAAGCCACGTCGATAACCAGGGCCTCCTCCCTGCGAACCAGGACGAGAACAGGACGCAATCCGGTGTCGCTGACTAGCCGGTTCTCGAATGGTGCGGTGTAGTTGCGGGTAGCGGCTGTGCCAATGCACGAGACCACCGCGTTGTGCCGCGCCATAAACATGGCGCTATGCGTCATGCAGTGGCATAGCACGTGCGGTAGCGTCTCCCTCGTGTAGCCGCAGACCCGGCAGCGCTGGTCTCGGTCAAGTGGGCCCCACATGACGGCGCCGTTAAGGGGTGGCAGGTTTAGGCGCGCCCGGAGGATAAACCACCAGTCGGCGAAGTGCGTGAATGCTCCCGTGGTGATGAAGTGGGAGCTTGCACAATCCGCCGAGACTCAGGCCATCACCTTCCCCTTGTTTGGTTGGTCGTGGAGGGCGTTGTCCCGGACGTGGGCCAGCACGTCGCGTAGCGTCCGCATGACCCGGTTTCGTTGAGTTGGTGGAAGCGTTGCGTCGCCGCAGGTGATGGTGACGTGGTCCGGCCACAGGGACCACGAAAATTGTAACCGTCGGGACGCCTTACGCTCCTCAGTCCACACACTGCGCAGATGGTTAGCCGGAAGTGAGTGGACTACCTGTAGATTTCCGGAGAGGTACGCCTCCAGCTCGGACTGGGTGACCTCCCATCCAAGGCGAGTGGAGGCGAGCTGGTATGCGTCAGACAGGGCGAGTTCCCGTAGCGACTTGTCCGGAGTCATGAGGAGCTTAAAAGCGGAGTCGATACGGCAGATATCGTACAACTCCGTTGCCACCGGGATAGCCAAAGCTCCTCCGGAGGCACTCCCGTAGACGTAGTTGGTTGAGGCGTTCACCAGCAAGTAGAGAGTTCGCTTCACCACGGGCCTGATGGCGAGGTCCAAGCGGTGCCAGTCAGATTTTGTCAAGACGCCGTACCTCATGGAGAAGTTCAGGGCGGGGAACACGAATATCTTGAGGGCGTCAATACGCGGCCAGGGGGCTAGTAGGGAGGAGAAAATAGCCGTGGCGTTGCGAATGGCGTCGTCATTGACATTGGTCTCCGCTCGATATGGAAGGCGGAAACCCACCGGGCGTTCAAGGTAACGCAGCGGCTCGGAGTCACTCAAAGCTGCGACCGGGTCGCCGGAGACCCGGAAGACGGTTGGCCGCATTCCGACGGGGGTGACGCCGCTGACGTGCGGGGTCGTCACTTGCTCGGGTTAAGGGATAGCGCGATTGGTGTTGCCGGCATCTCGACCATGTCGATGCGTTGTTGGAGAAGGGCGGAACAGTCGGCCAGGGGCGTCAGGTCGTCGGCATAGGCGAGGATGTTGTGGTCGTCGCCTGTGCCTAGGACGCCTCGAACCACCGTGTCTATAACCAGGTTGAAGAGCAACCCGCTGAGCGGGCAGCCCTGGCGTAAATCCGAGCGGATAAAGACCGGTTATTTTGTCTCTCTGCATCCACGATGACAGTCTGGTTGTTTTCATAAAGGTCCTTGATGAGGGCGGCGAACGTCTCTCCGGCACCGGAACCTTGAAGGGCTTCCAAGAGGGCCTTGTGTGGAACGGACCCGTAGGCATTTGGGAAGTCCAGAAGGGCGGTGGAAAGCTCCATGCCATAGGCTTTGACTGCGTCCATGCAGTGCTGGAAGAGGTAGTTTAGCTCGAAGACGCCGTCATATGGGAGGAAGCCCTTCTGGCACTTGGACAAGACCTGGTGATCCATGATCCAGGTTTGCAGGCGCGACGCAATACACTTGGCGTAGAGCTTAGAGGCAGTACAGCCAAGTGCAATCGGGCGCCACTTGCCCGGGACAGAGGGATCACCTTTCTTGTAAATCAAAACCGTGCGCGACGTTCGCCATGAGTCCGGGTTGCGATGGTGGTGAACGCAGGCGTTGAACGGGGCAGATAGGAAGTGGGCCTCCAGAACGACGGACCGCCAGTTCTGGCAGCTCAGTCTGTCGGGACCGGGAGCCGTGTTCTCTGACTTCCGGAGCCGGAGGAGAACCTCGTATGTCGAGAACGACGCCATGCTGACCGGAACAAGAGGCGCGGGTCGGAACGGCGCTGACGTGTCCGCCTTTCGAGGTGACCAGGTGGAGGCCCAATGGTCCTGGATGTCGCGTGTAGGGATGGTACAGGACCGTGTGGGTCCCTTCATGATCAGGTGCACGGCACGTAGGCGGTTCCTGCGGTAGAGACGCTGGATCTCTGTCGCGTTGTCGGAGTTGACGTCTGGAGCCGGGCGTCCTGGTGTTGACGGTGGGAGGCGGACAGTCTCCGTGGCCAGAGCAACAGCTTGAGACCACGCCTGCTCACAAGTCGCCCAAGAGTCTGGTGTCGGGGCAAATAGGAGCGTGGCTCGCAAGACGCGGACCTGCTCCGCAAGCAGCATGGTGTGGTCCGGTGGCATGTCCATAGTCGGTGCTTCAACAGGAATGTCGTGTACACGTCATCGGGATCATCCGCACCAGTGCCTTTTAGGTGCTCGGAAAGGGAAGGGGATGAGGAAGAGCGGGAACCACTCGACGAAGGACGGTGGTTGACGAGGGGGTCAGCAGCTGGGACACTCTGTTCGTCGACTTCGACGACGTATCGGCTCGTTGGCCGGTACGTCGGCAAGCTCTGTGGACATCCGTGAGGAAGCCTTCGAAGCAGGCGACGTGGAGCCGGGACCAGTGTGAAGACCAGAAGACGAGCCGGGTGCGGACGAAATCGCGCCAGTCGTGGACAGGGGTGCAGGATCTGGTGGCAGTGACAGTGGCGTTCCGGGAACCAAAGGCGACTGTCGAGGTGTCAAAGAACCGGAGCCGGAAGTGGCTGAAGATTGGCCCAGCATAGTAGACGTCCCGGTGCTTGACGCCGACGGAGAACTGGTAGCCGAAGTGCTGGAGACTGACCCGGTACTCGAGGTTGGCGTCGATATGGAAGACTTGCCTCCACGACGTTTTCAAGACCGAGAAATGGTGGCTCGAGTGTGTAGTTCTGGTGGAATTCGGCAAACTGTACCCAAAGAAGCTGGACCGGGAGGTGGTGGGGTCCCTGTACCGGAAGAACTGGAGTGAGTCACCATAGGCTGCCGTGGGTGTCGAAGAGGTACATAGACGCAGGATTGCTCTTGCTGATGCCGTGCCATGGTGTGCCGCTCAAGGAGCGCTCGCAGTTTAAATAACTAGGGCAGTACCGGCAAGGGTGGAAGAATCGTTCGTAGCAGGAGCTGGGCAGTCGTGGTGGGCGGACAGCGAAGTCAACCGGGCGTCACAGGCCACGCATTGGTAGAGATGCTTCGTTGGCCGAATTCCGTGTTTTCACTCCTTGTGCGACCGCCACGTGGACAATCGGAGCGAAACTGATGTGCAGGCTTGGCAGCCTGCGCAACCGGGATAAGGGCAATGCAGCATCTCGGGCACCGGCAGGTACACCGTCATGGTGCTCTGGTGAACGACGGGCGGTCGAAAGCGAGAAGAGCCCGACTCTGCGCGGAAATGCCAATAGACGCCGGAGTGCCAGGACGAGGCCGCTGAGCCGGGGGCAGCGCCAGTGTGCTCAACCCCGAAGGGGGATAGGGACGCCGCCGGCGGCGACCGGAACCCGGGGAGAGCGACTCGATGGACACGGCAGGTGGCCGGCGGGGGGTAGGCATGGCCGGGCAGGCACTCCTCCAGGTGGCAGGACCTCGTGGACGGATGG